CGAAAAGCGTCCTCAGCTCAGCGTCCAGTAAGAATTCCGGCGATTCTCGACTTCAATTGAAAGATATTAGCTCGCCAGTAGGTGACCGTTGTGTGTTAGGCGTGCGTTTGAGTTTGTCTCCGGCTGCTGAGAGCAGCGATGGAATGGTTAGTTAGTCAGGAGGTGATCGTTCGGGCAACATTCAGCCCAGCCAGTGTCACGCATGGCAAACAGGGCACGGTTAAAATACACATGTTCACCAGTTGTTATGGTGGAAACTTTGGCCGCTTTGCGGGACAGGAAAATATCATCAGATCGGAATGAAATTTTGCACAGAACCTTGTACCATAGTTTCGACAAGAATTCCGACCCGGCCCGACGAATCCGACAAACTTTTTTTTTTGCCATGAAAATGTGGACCACCCTAATATATATATATAAGAGTGTATAGAGAGAGAGCGAGAGAGAGAGAGGAGATATGAACACAGTAAATTGTCATTCGGTGTGATTGCGAGTGTGAATTGTTGTTCATCTCTGCGCCCTGCGATTGGCTGGCAACCAGCTCAGGGTGTACCCCGCCTGCTGCCCGAAGACAGCTGGGATAGGCTCTAGCACGCCTGCGACCCTTGTGAGGATAAGCGGATTAGAAAATGGATGGAGCACCAAAGCATCGAGGTAAAATGCAGATTCAAGTGTTGATCCATGTTTATAGCGCAATCGGAGTCTAGCCGTCACTTGAAAGTGGCTCAGGAATTTTGCCCAACCTAGTTAGTTCCTATTCAGTGAGCGTAAAAACCTGTAAGAGTCCACTTATTATGAAAATCAGTTCTGTAACAGTGGGGATGAAGTGTTATCCAAAGACCTACCGGTAACTATTTTTACATATTGAATGAAAAAGTAAAGTTCTCTATTATGCCCCACTTAAAATAAGGTCAAATTAACACGTGTCACCCGTCCAAATTAAGCCAGTTGATTTTTTTTACCTTTCGCATAGTCTGAAATGCTGTCTTTGAGCAGGCAACTTAGCTGGTGGCCATTGAGATGCACAAAGCGCAGCTGGTCCCGAAGTGAGCTTTCTTCGAAAACACTCGGAATAACATGGCCGACGCTGTTCTGAGATATAGGCAGGCCCAGAGACAGGGCCAGGGTTGGGGTCAGGTCAACCTGCTCAATTTCATCAGGCTTCTCCATTCCAACTGATGGGGCAGGGGAAAAAAAAAAAGCACAAATGTAATCGATTTATTCAGCATTATACATGAAAATGTTATTACGATTCACAGAAATGAAGTCATTTTCTTGCATAGTACTTTATTTTCAAGTATGTTTGTTTCATTGTTGTTTTTTTTTTTTTAATCAGAGATTAATAGTGTTGAAAGGTTGACATTTTCTATCGATTTGTTTCAAGGAATGTTTTTTTAACCTTTGTTCCTGACTAAAATGTAAAAGCTTGATATGAGTTCATAGGCATACATTGCCCCATTGAAGTAACACTATACTATTCAAACAGGACAAAATGTTTGAAAGCATAGCTTGCTCCTCAATGTAGACGACTATAAGGATGTGATAAGGAACCGGCCACTCATTGTTATTCACTTAGCATTGGTTTCACTCCACCTTGACTAAGGCTTGAGGGAAGGTGAAGAAAAACAACAAAGAATGATGCAGCGAGCTTCAGGCTCGGGATGTTTTGTTGGTGAGAAAATCTTGGTACAAGATACATATGTATAAACCTAACACAGTGGTAGTGTGACCACTCCATCTGAATTAAGACGGTCAATTGTTATTGTCAAAAATACAGTGTGAATGCTTTGCTCACGACACCTACGATGTCATTATTACCAGTACAGTTGAGGGGAATTTTTTTATTTTTTTTACATTGATGAGTGCAGGTGACATCGCGGAGATGAGCGTGAAGGCTGTACTTTCAGTTTTCACATCATCACAGCTTGTTTGAGAGTAAACTTAGGAGGTAAACCAGCTCGCAAAACATGAATCAGCATAACACTTTCAGCAAAAACCAAGACCCATCTGTTTACCTTTCCTCTTGAAGGCAGGGCTTATGAGCACCAGGGGCGTATTGACTTCTGGTTCTGAGGAGCCTCCGTGGCTACCGGTTTCTGACATCCCGTGGTCCGCGCACAGAACAAGCAGATAGGGCAAAGATCCTTCTGCCTCCTACAATGATAATAAACCCCAAATTTAATGGACATCACAAGGTGCCCAGATTGATAAAAACAAAAATAAAACAACCCATTGCTGTAAAGTCCAATGGAATCTAACAGTAAGGATTCAAAAAGTCTGCTGGTTTACAATGACATTCCAACCATAACACAACTGCCTTGATGTGGGGAGTCTGTTCGAATTTGCCACTACAGTACATGTAATTTGACATGAATGTTGAGTCCAGGTTACTGAATAATGGTTCCCATTAAAAGAATGCTAGTAGTTTCTTCAACTTCTTTCGCTATTTCAAGATTTTAACATCATCATCCCTAACTTCCATAGTAATAATGATCACTTTTAGCAATTTACTATGGCCATAACAAGGCAACAGTTTTATGAGGTGCTTGGTATTTTATGACGGGCATTTCAAAGTTATTTACACAATGGAGTTTAACGTGTGTGTGTGTGTGTGTGTGTGTGTGTGTGTGTGTGTGTGTGTGTGTGTGTGTGTGTGTTTTCACCACTATGTTGAGGGAAAGGGTGGCTGTTGCAGTGCAGTCATCACAATTAAAAAAAAATAATAAAAACATGCAAAATGTCAGCGATTGGACCAATTTATTGGTCGTAGTCTAATTTCATTATGGGGCCGACGTCATTTTTATGACGACCGCATTTTGGTGTCGCTGCTTGAATTCATTATCAAAATTGTCACGTGTACCTTTGAAATGAGGGCACCGTGGATCTTCTTCAGAATATCATCCATCTCCATCAGTTTGGGCTGGATCATCGAACTGTGGGGTCCACTGATGTGACCAATGTGGTCAAGGCCAAGGTAGTGGAGGATGAGAATGTCCCAGTCATCTCTCTTGAGCGTGCTATCCAAGTGGCGGGTCACATTGTTGTCAACCTGCAGGACACAAGATGAAAAGAATTAAGAATGAAATGGTGCGTGCTGGTAGTTAAAAAACAAATTGAATATCCACGCTGAGTTAGTTTGACATAAAGTTTATGTATCACAATATTGCAGGTAAGTGTTTATCATTTGTGGAAGTTTTTATGTCAAGTTAACAGTCTGACCAGTAGGATATTTTCAGTTATAAAAGGACCCATCTTCCATGTTTTGTAATTTTGTCATCTTTGGTATGCTCTCTTGTCACTCTAAATCTAAGAAAATGAGCACCACTGATTGAACGCATATCAACAGCTTCTCCTCTGCTCTGATATTTCAAGTAAGACACTTCAGCAAACAGCACTGAGGGGTCATTTTGCTGTAATCGCAACTCAGAACTGCCCTCTCTGTAATGCAGTTTTTACTTGGACTTAAATCATACTTCCACAAGGCATCAATATTGGATTGCATTGTTCCGCTGTCAGTGATTGGCAAATGCATGTTGCGTCACGATATCAGCCAAGCTAGAAAAGTGAACGAGTATACTGTTGAACACACTGCGGGCCTTATGTGTTTGCCTCAGTTGGTTATGCCGAATGCGTGAACTGCTCCAATGAAAAGAGATATCATTTGTGTTGGGACTCACATTTTTTGAGTTTCGTAAATTGGTAGTTACCTTGTTCATCGAACAATTGAAAGACAAACTGCCTCAGACTGACGCAACACACGGCCAACAATTTCTTAATGACAAAGTATCCTGAGGGCTCCTCAAAGTTTGGAAACCTTCAAAAAGGAACTAAAAACATTTCCATTTCAAAATGCTTGCTCACTTTAAAACCTCTCTATTTTTTTTTCCTGACACCAAATGTTTTTACTTTCGCCAGTAATCTGCTGCAAACTTTTAGTTCTTTAAACTGTTTTTAAATCTTCTCTAGTCATGTGAACTGTCTCTGAAATGTAAAGAGCATTGCAGCTCAAATCCATTATCATTATTATTATTACTCATACAACATGAAAATACTGTAGATGAAACTATCAAGTCCATGAAATTTCAGATTCAGAACACAAAACAAATGTTTGGGAAATGTTTGCCTGGTGACTAATTCTGTTGTACAATAACTAGTGACTCTGTGCTTTGAAAGAGATGCAATCATTTTAAAGACACACAGCCCCTATGTGATAAAATACATAGCTAATACCACAACGATGACCTCACACATCTTTGCCAAATTCAGCTCATTATAAATGACAAACTTACCTCAGTGTAGTCGGACACAAAGGAAATTGTGCCATCGTACTCGATGAAATGTTTAGGGAAGAGTCGCACCCATGTCTCATCTCCATAAAAGATCATTTTTTTCCCCGCTGTTTTGGCTTGCCAAATAAGATTGTCTTCCAATAAGGCTGGGGAATTTAGATTCATCACCATATCAATAAAGCCCGGGATACTGCCAGTGGTGAGAGCCTGGGGAGGGATATGTTTACGTCATTGTTGAGAAAAGTAACACTGTTTCATGATGCTGTAAAACCACACAATTACATCAAGTAAATGCAACTAATTGCGAGGACTAAGCAGAAATATTTTATTCATTTTAATGGTGGGGAAACAGACTATTAAAAAAAAAAGTCAGGAGATGCTTCCTTTACTTTGCATCGCACAGAAATTCCCACAATACCAAACTTTTTCTTTTTTTTTTTTGCCACAAATGATGAAATAAAAAAGAAGACACCAGCAACCAAGAAACTATCATCGCAGCAGTACAAAGGCTGTTTGTAAGAGAGAGTACAGCCGAAAATTACAGAGGCTGAAGCAATACTGCTATAGGGGACTTTACCACTTGCCTGTAGCCCATTTTGTGATCGTTTTGTGTTGTTGAAAAACACGAGCTGCAATATGGAGTAACTGTTTATCATCTTATGGGTATACAATGTCACATAGCTCCTTTTAAAAAGGCCACTTAGCTTGTCCTTTCCCTCATATACTCTTAGCTGTCATGTTTTCATTGCACAAGATCATGTCTCACGTATCAAAAACGCGAAAGGCACCCGAGATCCTCGTGAAGTTAAATGGTACAATAAATGAATGGATGTTGTGGCAATTTAACTCTCAGAAAAGGGGACAGAAATCATCTTTTGTTGACCTTTTTATCTTCCTGTTAACAATGACGACCTGATAAACAAACTGAGATGACAGTCAATGTTTCTAAGAAATTGAAGCAAGGATTTTGCTTTTGCTTATTTCCGGACTCAGTTATTTACTACAGCTGTCAGTGCAACAATCTTTCTGCTGCCAGGGCCGATGCGAACTCTCTGGAAGAGATGGATTGCTCCCCCTCGATTTCTTGAAAATGCAATTTCAGGGAGGTTCAAAGTCTATTCAAAGACTCAGACTATGATTGGAACAAATAGAGGCTCTAGTCAAGATTGTGGAACAATCATAAGAAGTGTGCACAGCCCAAAATGTGGTTACTGGCGATAACACAATAGATCAGCTAAAAAAAAAAAAAAAAAAAGTGTAGGCTATACTTTATGATCCTTCCAGTTGCCAAATGCTGGTTGAATGAATTGGACCGGTAGCTCATCAACATGCTAATTACTGTCCCACAGTGTGTCTCTGCTCACCATGTGTCACGGCTTGAATGTCGAAGGCAATATCAGTGGGGCACATGCTCTACAGCTGGCACAGCGGGGGCAACTTGTACAGGTGCCCAAACATTGATGGAAAACATCAACATTTTTTTTTTTTTGTCTGCTGACCACTCAAAGGCACAACCAAACCAACAATATCGCAACTGTGGTCGTGTGCATAAAACACCCAAAGTTTACACCTCTGGATGGTTTCAATTTGGGGTACGCCAGGTAGGGATGTCCGTTGGAATAAATGATCTTGGGGGACGTGCGGGGAGGGGGGGGGGGGTTAACCATTGAGAACTCATTAGACCGTCTCTTTTGGAATGGTCTGCGTTTCGATACCAGCATTATATTGAGCAGAATAATGCTGCGCAGAGAAGTTGCACAAGCAGCGATATGACAGTATTTCCCGTGTTATTCTTTGTGAGCAAGCAAACTATTTGAAACTGAATTCACAGCACCTGTGCTCGTTGACACTCAAATTTTCCTCTTTTATTATCATCATCATTTGTAGTTTTTGCATTCCTCCATCAATTTTTTTTGTTTTAATTACAGATCACTCGGCTCACTTGAATATAGACAGATGTAAAGTAATTGATTGCTTCGTCTCATGTCCATACTCCAGAGGCAAATACTCAACCTTTACACATACCCATCACTGGGGGTGTGGAGGAGGGGGTGGGGGGTGTATTTGGTTTTTGGTTACACGTGATTAAAATATATTAAACTAACACATATCATTTGTTTATTTTTAAGGGAAACACGGGAAAGTTACATTGATTTACCACATTTGATGGACATGTTTGAATAAGTAAATCCAAAGGTCTATTTTTTTCAGTGCAATGAGTTGCTGTCATTGCTGCTGCAGTCATTATCTGAATTTACAGCCAAAACTGAGTCTCTCAGAAATATGTACTGACAGCTGTGCCAGTCAGAGACAGGCTCAACTGGCCATCTCTGAATAGTGAATGGAGAGTGAGCCATTTCAGTGCCAGCTTCTTGTCAAGAGGTGTACCACATTGCTGTGGCTTAAACGATGTAGAATTATAGAAATAACATTTGCCCATAAATGCAAACAAATGCAGTGGTGTCAAATTTAGTGGCCTAGTCACAGTGCTGTGATGATTTACTAGCATGTGTCAAATAGTGAGACAATGTAGAGACAGGGGTTAGAATGTGCTCATAGTTGGTTTGTGCTGCCACCTACTGGTAACATACTCATTTCAATGCTGTCGCCTGTAGTTAATAAAAACAAACATTTCCTCAAAAGAGCCCCCCCCCCCAAAAAAAAACAAATAAAAACGAAATAAATAAATACATAAATAAAATAAGAGGTCCGGATACACGTTTCCCCTGATCCTGATTATCTATTTTATGGTTCCAACTTTGAAACACCAGTTTGGGAATTTTGTTCTCCATGTGCGACAGTGCAGAAGGAAAGGTTCAATGACATGGAAGAGCAAGACAGAGCAGCACTAACTACTGCTGTGACATTACTGAACACATCCCTTGAATGATTAACGTGATGCTGCCAGCTCCCCAAAAGACATTTTTTGCACGATTGTCCAATAGTAGTGATGTGTTGCTTTGCGCTCTAGCCATCAGCAAATGTGTCCTTTATGGATTATGGTGGAACATCTGTCTCAATCTTAAAGGCCAGCTCAATCCCGACCAGCTCATCCTTCCATTAGATCCTTCGTGACCCCCTTAACAGAAGTATCATGACTCTTGACAAATTGTAGAAAAGAACCCCAAAGTTTGGACCGAACAACATTTTGGAGGGGGCATGATCTGCCTATAAAGACACACAGTAACACAGAATTCATACCACACGACATCAGCATTTGATATTTCAGGTCCCTGCTGCCCATATGAGAATATAAACACATTTTTTTAAAAAATGACGTGATAATCTGGAGCCCAACTGCTATTTTGTTTTAACGACAGCTTTTCTTTTGATTCCCTTTTTTCATAACATTGCACAAAATATCTCGCATACAGGCTTTCCCAGTCTGCCCACCAACTGTCATATATAGCAAGAATGAGTCTTGCTGGCTCTGGTCCCACGTTGACTCATCATCTAAATGTGAAAATTCACCAGTATATTATCAGTTTAAGTACAAATAGACAATTTCTGCACTTTGAAAAAAATAACTTCTCTGCTCCAAGAAAAACTGGCTGAGCTTTACTACCTATGACATCTTATTAAGTGGGAGAACTGGCACAATTGGTGGCTGATTTTTTGTTTTTGCCGCACTGTACTACTACCAGCCGATGAAACAACTCTCTCACTTACTTTGATCCTGGGCATGGTGACAGTTGGAATTCGAGCTTTGGAAACATAGCTGAGTGTTGAGCCTCTCTCCACCAGGTGTCTTGTGTAGGGCATGTACGTGCGACCATTGGCTCCAAACACAAAGTCTTCCCGTAGTGCATCGACTAACATGATTACTACCCTTTTGAACAACGGCTGCGGGACGTGAGACGAATTGGGCGAGCCGCCTGTAATTCAAGCGACATACTTCATGAGGGGCATTAGGTTTTCGATGATGAGTGAGGACCACCCGGCTGAACTTACCCGACAGCGGCTCGATAGGCAGGTCTTGCCTGATCTTGGACAGAGAAGACTTGACAGGTACAGGGAAAAATCCCCTCAGGAAGAGTGCAACCGCCAGAACTTCAAATATTAGAATTACTGAGGCAAATGCAGACGAACGGACTTTCATTTTTTTGCTTTTGGTTTTTTTTTTTTTGCGCTGGTGATGTGATGAGACTTAATTTTAAGATAGTAAGAAAAAAAGTTGCTTTGGTGAGTTAGCTAGCAAGCAACATAACACGTCGTCGCATATTTTTTTACATTAAATTAAAATCTCACATTCAATTGCAAACACTATACTGCATAGCAGACCGTAACAACAGAATCCTTAGTTTCCATGCAATTTTTAGAACAAACACAATAACACATATCGGTGTCACCATTCATATACAACTTCCGCATTTTTTGTTGAACTACGGCAAGTACATAGGGCCAAAAAATACCGACACGCACCTTAAATTCAAAAAAAAATAAATCCACAGCCGCAGAAATCGCACACATTATAATGGGTTGAAAACCGTATCCATTAGAAGAAATAATTTTAAAGAAAATAACAGTATCAGATATCCTTAATCTGGACATATAATAAATAGAGCCGACCCAGTAACGTGATCTTTTCGGGAACCGGAGAATAGATTAAACATTGAATGATTACGATATTACAATTACTATTAAGGGACAAAAAAAAAAGTTTTCATTTACAGTATATGTGCAATCATATAAGAAGTATAAGCAAGAACATCTAAAATGCCCACAGGTCATTTGTGTTCGTGAGTGCCATATCACAAAGTATTATAGATATAGGTATAGATACATTTCTGCTGTTTTGTTTATGTAAACGAATTACCTTTATTTGTAGGCAATGAATCCAAGAGGGGAAATGTTTTTTTGCTGAAACTTAATGAATTCAACTTTTAATGCTATTATTTGCCAGGCGTATAAAAGAAAAAAATTACACACATTTTTCAGTACCATTTTATTTTGAAATGAACAATGCAGTCTCACCTCCATGGAAACATATTACACACACGTGTGTGTATATATATATATATACACACACACACATAATAGATAGATAGATAGATGGATAGTCACTTTCTTAAAATAATTGACTAAGTCAATTTTTTTCAGAAAACATGAAAAACTGATCATCTTCTATATATTAATAATTTCATTTCAGGCGTAGATGTGAATGATCTGTTTAACTAAGGATTCAGCCGATTTTAGCAGAGTTGGCCAGCATCCTGAGGCGATAAAAGAAAAACCCTTGTCAAAATTGTACTTAGGTCATTAATTTAAAGGCTGACGATATACCTGTATATCTATATCTATATATATATCTATATATAGATATAGATATATATATATCTATATATAGATATATATATAGATAGATAGATATAGATATATGTGTATAGATACATATTTAAACAATGCAATTACTCTAGTTTTCTTTCCTCTTCAGAACATTAATAAAAACATCTTTGGGTACTTCCACGTTGCCAATACGCCTCATCTTCTTTTTGCCTTCTGCCTGTTTTTTCAGGAGCTTCATCTTGCGTGTTATGTCACCTCCATACTTGCAACAAATAATGCTTAATTTGTGAAAATGTCATTACAAATGGCACAGTATGAATAGAAAAATAAAAACGACACTTACACATTTTGCGAGGACATTTTTTCTATACGCCTTTATCCTGAAAGAGCCACACAATGGGATGTTACTTGCCTAAAGGAAATTTTTGGTGTATAGTAAATAAATTGCCTTTTACTCACGTCTCTCTTGCAATGATTTTACTTCCAATAGATGCTTGTACAGCAATTTCAAACATTTGCCTTGGTATTGAATCCTTGAGTCGCTCACAAATGGCTTTTCCTGTGCTGTATGCACGTGCTCTGCAAAGAGAAAACAACAATAGCAAATCCGCAAAAACACATTTGATACATCCGTGTCCTCAGCAGTTCATGGCAGCAGCCAACCAAAAGTGCTCGTCTAAAATCCACCCTACTCTGAATATGCAATAATAAATTACAGATAAACAGAGATGTATACAGGCACCGGTACATCTGAGAAACTGAGACTACCCAAGAAAAAAATGATTTAATAATAATAATAATAATAATAATACATTTTATTTATAAGCGCCTTTCAAGACACCCAAGGATTTAAGTACTGTCGTTCAACTTAAAACGTGAAACCGGCAGATTCATTAAACACACAGAAAAAATACTTTTCAGTCAGCCAAATCCTACCTAATTTCTACATTACAACTCATTTTGACTTTTGAATATTGTTGAGACATTGAATGTTGGGTATTCATTAGCTGTAAGCGTTTGTCATCTCAAAAATAAATAAGAAAATCATGAAATATTTCACTTGGTGTAGTGAATCTACATGACATTGATTTTCTATTTTTTTTTTAATTTATTTCCTTTGAGATGCACCTGTAAGTGCAAACCATCTCAAGTCAACGCAAATCAAGTCTCTTTCCACAGTGCTTGAACAACAACGGCAGCTGTAACAAAATGATGTACACGAATCATAAAAGACCATAATTTCAAGAATAAAATGTCTCATTCAAATACGCACAACAGAATCAACATAATGTAATGTAATCCTCTAATGTAATGATATCCCTTTGAATAGGTGTCTGATGACAGCTCGAGGAGGTACAGAAAATGTGTTTTACAGTGTCCTGCCTTGAAATCCCATTGCCTTGAAAGAATGATCAAGTAAGACCATGCTGGGCACAGCTCCAAGGACTGTGGCAGACACGGTCGGGGGAGCAGCCTTCATCAGTGTTTTGAAAGACTTCAATTACCAGGATGTGCACTTGCTTCTCCACTGGTTTTGGTGCATACATTAAGCACTACTTCTGTGCGTCATCACTTTTGATCTGTGACTCCATTGTCCTTGTCTGCTACGTAATAGAAAATGTAACACTGACTGCCAAGTCGACAGTTTCTTTCCATGTTACTCTGGTTATCCAATACATTTTATACTCCATAAAGTCTGACTAATTGGAAATTTCTCCAATGTGGGACAAATAAAAGTTTTCTTATCTTATCTTATCTTAATCTCAACAGCAGCCAAGGCCCATTTAACCCTTGTCGTGAGACTGAGGCTGATGATTCAAACTCAAAAAGGGATTTCTTTCCATGGATTCATGCAGAATAATGACAATCATCCCATCACGACAAAGTCAAGGGTGTTTTCATTCAAGCGATCCAGTGTGAAATATTTGAGACATCTCATGCACGCCCTTGGTAATCGCTATACATAATGTAAACCCATATATGGGCAACCTGTTACATGTTATAAGACTGGATGGATTTCAATGGACTCTACACATCTTCTACAGCAGCATATTTCAAATGAATTAAACACTGTTGACAGTTTGGAAAGTCTGCAGTCTGCTTTTAGGATCGTAGCCCAAACCCAACTTTTTTTTGAATGTACAACTCTTCCATGATTTAGCTCATTGTTGCCTATGAGGTGTGACTTGTTGAAGTTTGAAGTTGGCTGTAAATCATGGAGCATGGAGTTTTCCTGAGACTTGTGAATGCCAGGGAAATTCATTTGGGGGGAAAAAAAAAACAGCCCACTTTTTTTCTCTCTATTTTTATGCTACATATTATTTGGATGGATCATTGAATCATTTGGATTTGCCTTAAATAAGGTGGTGCGTCAAACAAATTAAGGTTCTTGAAATTAATGAACCAATGAGGAGTGTTTTGTAACACCGCCCTTTTGTATAGTTTGGCTATTTGGTAGAGGAAAAAAAAACGTATTCATTACACAAAATCTAACCTCTGCTGTATGAAACCTACCTGTGCACAATTGTGGTGAGTTCTTCCACCGGGCGTCCATTCAAAAGAATATCCATCTTTATGAGGTCAGCAGCCTGATAGCCTGCATTTTCATAATCAAAGCTAGGAAGGAGAATGGATGTCACATGTTGAATACTTAGAATGCATGTAGACAAGGACAGGGTGGCCATTGGGAATTTCAGGAAATATATGTTCATTTTCCCGAACGGCCGGTGTGTTTCCACCCTGTCGCCAACTACGTTTCGGCACGACGCCCCATTGAGGACAATTTTTCGACGCATGACGGCAACAATAAATATCACACCATTGATATTTTTTTTAATGATTGTTTCATTAATTCCTCTCATACTCCTCACCCTTTAAACATATGACATGTGACGTAAAATTATTTCTTGTGATTTTGGCAAATTTTCAAGAATGAAAACGGACTATGATCTTCCATAAATTATTTTACCTGGCATATCCAGAAGAGAGAGACTTGAGGAGGTCATAGAAATCCATAACAATTTCATTTAAAGGAAAGAGATACTTCATCATCACACGATGGTCATCGACGTACATCATATTATTCTGGATTCCTCTGCGATTCTATATGGGTACAAACAACACAATTTTAGTGTGTGTGGTTTTGTGTGTGTGTGTGTGTGTGTGTGTGTGTGTGTGTGTGTGTGTGCGTGTGAGTAAATTACAAAGGCAGAAAAAAATTTTCAAGTGCATGTCTGTTAAGCAGAATATATGTAAAGGAGGATATAGAAAAAAAACAATCCTACCAAGCAGAGAGTCATAATCTTGCCAGTGTACGTGTCAGGTGCTAAAATGGTCCCCAGCACCATTGGTTCTAAATACTCCGACACTACCGATCTGTCTGGAAACTGAGCTGGGTTCACTACTGTGATCTCCTCCTTGCCATGTTCCTGTAACAAGTGCCAACAAGATCTACAAGTGAACACGAGCCATTATCTTCAGTTCCAGTTTCTACTGATGCTCTCATATGTAAGAAGTACAATTGAAAACTTCGATTAAAAGTCAACTGAGGTGTATTTAAAAATATAGTTCCAGAGAGGAGCCATTATGGTTTCATTAATGGACGGATTTACAAAATATGAGACGTACACAAAATATTTAGACCTTAAATCTTGACAAGTGGAATGAGAAACCATAAGCGGGAAATATTCAAATGGCCTGGGACATGCAAATAGAACACATCGATTACACCCTTCATGATTTCATTTTAGTCTACAAGCACTACCAGACAACTACGTTCGTATGTCATTAATTCACTCTTGGAAACGTGCATTTTGCTTACAGTGACTGTAATGTAACTCTAAAGTAAGGGTAGAAAATGCGGTCTGGGAGCAACTCTTACCTTGATGAGTTTAGCTGACGAGAGCACTGCCTTGTAAGGTACGGTTGGTGCTGTTATGATAACAGAGGCATTGTATTCCTGCTCCAGCCTCTGATTAAACACCTCCATATGAAGGAGTCCCAGGAAGCCCAGCCTGCGGATTCCCACTGGTGTTACATTACATTCATTATAGGGAAAGCTGCTTGTTTATTCACCCATCAACACCTAAACATGTCAGAACTTGTCTGAAACATGTGACACACATACTCTTTAGTTAGTGATTGTAAAACCAGTTCGTTACTGACCTCCAACCAGCTCCAAGCGCCAAACTGCTGTCTCTCTGCACTGTGACACTTGAGTCGTTTAGTGTCAGTCTCTCGATGGCGCTACGAAGGCCCGGGTACTCTGACTGGTCCACTGGATACATACCTGGGAAACAAGCAAACCACAGCTAAATTCAGAGGTGGTGATTGGTGGGGCTGCTTAGGGTTATAATAGTTTTTTATTTATATATATATATATATATATATATATATATATATATGAGAGCCACTGTCCAGGATGAAGATGAAACATCCAAGCTCCATGAATACATCAAGGAGAAGGCTCCAACGGATGACGTACTCAGAGAATGTCTCCGATAA